TCTGGTGGTCTAGTAGTATGAAACTGTACTACAATCCCAAAAGCGTGTGCTTCAAATCTAAAAGCTGCTCCATGGAGGACAGGCAATCTCCTCCTGTGTGATTTACTGTCTCTGAAAACCTAGTGGAGGATCAGCTATCAATCAGTTTTGACTTCACAACACACAACAACAATAAGGCTGGCTTTAGAAAAGTCAAAATGATGGCTATAGTTAATACTGTCAGTATTTTATATATTGGAAATAGAGTTAACTAACCACAAAATTAAAGCTATATGGAACAAATCAGGGGAAGGGAAAAAAGAACCAAAACCCTACAGGCTTACTGGTTGGATATGGATACTAATAACCCTGGAACCCCACTGTAACTAAATTAATACCAATTAATACCCATCTTCTGGGACAGAATGCATTATCCTGCATGATGAAGTACTGTTGTCCTTTATGTTCTGCAGTACATAAAGACTGTAAATCTTTATGAAATCAGACTCTTAATTCTCCTCCAAGAACCTGGTAGGTTTGAAACACTGACATTTTTGGTTAACAGTCAAATGCCTTAACCAGAGTGCCACATTTTATCTTTAAAATTATTCACCTGGCTCAACTTAAGCATTTGTTTTAACACTTTATACTCATTGGTTTTTGGCAATACTTTATTGTTACTATCAGCTGTAGGATTTTTGCCAGCCATCTTTTAAAGACTTGTGAAGATCCTCTTCATTTAATACTGATACAAGGTTTAAATATTAGTGTTAATTATATCAATTATTTCTCTATTAATACAATTTGAAAATTTTTCTCCTTTTATTAATAGTATAGTAAGCTTTTAAATATTTAAACAAACTTGCATTCCTCAGATAAGCTCCTCTTTGTCATAACATTTTATATATTGCTTGTTCACTATTGTTAAGGGATTGGAACATTCCAATTATTTTAACCTAACTAAATAAACACTATTTAGTGTACATGTTTTGAATCCATGAATATAAAGTATATTCTGTAGTATTTTTATTTGCTAACTTGTACTTTATCAAGTTTTGGTTTCTCTCAAAGGATTGAGAAAGTTCTCCCTCTTTTCTCTTTTCTGAATACCTTTTAAATGTTTGGTATTATTTGTCTCACATTAGTAAAGCTATATGGGCACAGAATATTTTCTGTGGTAAATATCTAAGTCTTATTTATATCTCCAAGTCATGAAGAATAATAGTGAGATTCCAATGTGTAATAAGGAGTTTCTGGGGGACACTTAGCTTTATTAACGAAGTTTAAAAAGTCAATCATATGAGACAAATACTGTGTAATGTCCTTATTATAAAAGTATCAGGAGAAGTATACCTATAGGAAGCATTGTTCTTTGGTGGTTATCAGAGACAGGAGGGAAAGGGCAATAGAATTGTTTTCCGTACAGAAGACGTGTTAGTTTTGGTAATGGGAAAGGCCGTGTTGAATAAGGGGGAGGAAGTAAGCACAACGTAACCAAGATTAAGAACTGAAAAAGAATAAGGGAAAAACTGTATAAAACATAACGTACATGCATGGAACACAGTGTATATGAATAATAGAAATACCAATAACAATATGCAAAAAATAATGACTTTATAAATGTTTGAATATATACCATTTTACAAAAATTATTAAAACAAAAATGTGTGTGTGTCTGTGTGTCTGTGTGTCTGTGTCTGTGTATTGGAAGGCTCTACCAAAATATGTTTGAAATCACAGCAATACACAAGTCTTTATTGATGTCACAGATTATAATATATATAAAGCAGGAGTGGAATCCATGCCTCTGGAAACTCTGTTGTTGTTGTTATGTGCCGTTGAGTCGCCTGCGACTCATAGCG